TTTTTTAATAACTCGATATTTGGCCCATTGGACAGGCATAAGGAGGGACCAATCTCACCGTTTACTTGCGGAGATCTCAAATGAATTGGCCTCAAATGAATTGGCCCTAAGAAATTATTTATACCTAAGAGATTTCGAATCTAAGACCTTGAAGTCAGGCTGGGATTGTTATGATGCATGCAGAATGCTTTTGCAGTTTCAATTTTTGTGGGACTGTTTTTCTGGGATGGCTTCATATGCTTATAAGGAACCTAGGTGCCTATTTTTCTTATCTAGAAGAGACCAAGTATATGGCAGGGTGGAATTTTTGTTGGGCCCTATTTGATTTGGTTTGTGTTTTTCTTTTCTTTTCTTTTCTTTGTTTTGTCTTTGGTTGGTCTCTCACCAACTGTGTGGTGTGATACTTAGCAGATGATTGGACTTATTTTTTGCTGTCAATCTAGTTGAGATCGTTTAGTTTACTTTGATACTTAGTACCCTTATCTTTCTTTATTGATGTTTATCTCTGTCTACTTTTTATTTTGATTTTCATCAATAATTTTTTTTTTTTTTTTACTGATAAAGAAAAGAAAAAAAAGATGATTTTATAAGAATTTTCTCTATAAATTGGTTAGGTCCCCCTATTCTCATGTTAGTTACATAAAAAGTATGATCTATACAACAGGAGAGCAACAAGAAGAAAATCGGGTATACTTAAACTTTTCTAAATATTACAATAAATGGTGAGGCTGTTTTGTAGTGCTATGACTTGTACGGATATATTTAAAACATCTCTTAAATATTACAATAATTGTGCTCTAGTTCTTAGTATGATTCATATACATAAATATTAGAAGTAAAATCTTGACAGAAGGAACTCTAGGTAGCTTCTATTTTTGTGGTGTAAGTAGAAGCTAACGGGGTTGGTTGTGGCTGCTTGTCCTCAAGCCTCTGTGTGGTCTGTTGTTGGGTGCTGTCCTCCTTTTTTGTTAATAAAATTAAAAAAATTAAAAATTAAAAAATAAAAAAAAATAGAAGCGAACATTTTCCGTAGGAAAAGAATATCTTTGTCACAGCAAACCTAGACAAATTTTTTTTGTTTATTGTCCGGAATAGGAGGATTTAAAAACTCTATCGCATAATAATGAGATTTGAATTTAAAATTTGGAGTACAATATTTGCACGGATATTTTAGCCAAACACGGCCTTAAGCAAAGCATTCCCGGGCATAAATTATTTGAAGCTAAATGAGAAAGAATTTTGTTAGATAAAAAGCATGTTTTGAAAGGGTTAGATTAGTATACTTTTTTTACGTTTTACGAAAAAATGTAAAATATAGATTGAATTTGAAATGATGTGATAAAAATATAATATGACTTAAGTGATTGTGACCCAGATAAAATGATAGGTTAAAATAACATATGTTTATTTTAACACATACCAAATAAAGTCTAAGTTGAAAAATGTCATTTTCAAATGAGGAAGCAAAAGTTTAAAAAAAAAAAAATAGAGAGAGATTGTGGTAATGGCTTGAAAATGTGGGTGACCGTTATCTACAAGTACAAGCATCGTAGATCACGTAACCCCATTGAATATATACATATATATATATATATATATATGCAAATACAAAAGAATTATTGACAAAAAAAAATAATTAGAGATATGAATCTCTAAAGTTTGTTTTTTTTTTTTTTGTCCACATACTCAAAAAACCAATCATTCAAATGTGCACAAAACACACTCACCACACATATTAATCCGGTGATTTGTTTCATTTATGTACATCTTGATTTCATTTTTTTACAAAAAGAGTCAAAAAGAGCATTTGAATTGTTAAAAGAAAATTACTAACAGTTTATTTGGGTGGTAATGTTGGTATAGAAATATGCAAAAAAGAGTATAGAATATGTGAAATTTGTATTGAAATTTTAATTTGTTGGACATTATTTAGTCTTTAATCAATTCATAGGCTGAGTTTGGATCACGAATTTTGATAAAAATTTTGAAAAGGAAAAAAAAAAAAAAGTAGATGAAATATAAATAAAATATTTCATCTACTTTTTTTCATTTCTCTTTTCAAATCTTTATCTAAATTTATGATTCAAATATAGTTTTAATAAGTTGTCATTAAATAGCATGCTCTAAATGATATTTCTTTTGTTTCCTTCTCAAGAAAATTAAATACAAATAGCATTTGTGACCTCCACTAAAAAAATAGAGATAAAACTCTAGCTAAAATTTAACAATATGTCAAACCTGTTTGGTAATGTCAAATTTTAAGAATTCCAATAAAAACTTAATTAAGAGCAATGTTACAAAACACACCCATCAAGAAAGCTGTATCAGATGCAAGTTATTGTGATGTTAATATTCAAAGTATCATAATTCAATAACTTTTTGTCCTAACTTAATGAATAATAACCAAACATATTTGATGCACAACAAAAAAACATATTTGATCATAATCAAATTTATAATCACAATAAATTATAATTGACTCATAACTATTATCACAATGTGTCATAATCAATAGTTATAATCAAACACCACTTCAGATATAACCAAAGAGTTCTACATTCATAACCAAAATAACAGTTATAGTAGATTACAATTAAGTTATAATCAACATTATAATGAGTTATAATTAAATAACACAAAAGAAATAACTCAGATATATGAAAAAGATGTGCATCATAGAATTTTCCAATAATTGTATTAAAATTCTTTCTTTTACCCAAATTATTATATCATAAAGTATAACAAATATTATAGCAATTGCAATTGAACATCTCTGATTTGTGGCTCTTAGGTTGTTCAGTGTTGGATAAGCCTGTGGCCGTTGTACTAAACCAGTTTTCCCAAAAGGAAGAAAACTTACAGTTGTGTGAGTGGCCACCATCAAAATGCATCATTAGTCTATCATTAGTCTTCCAATGATTATATGTTGTGATAATTTAATGTTTTATGTTTAAAATTAAAACTAGTCCAAGTTTAGCATCCTCAAAAAAATTTAAAAAGTTAAAAAGTCACTATTCTATTTAAGTCATATCATCTTATTTAAATCACATCACTTCAAATCCAACTCAAACTCAACTCATATTTCATAAAAAGTCAAAAAGTACACTAGGACATCCCAAACAACTCCTAAAATTAAATTATGTCAGTTCAAGATGCGTGATTTTAATATTATTTTATTTTAAATTTAAGGATAAATTACACTTTTATTCTTGAAGTTTGGGTTTAATACATATAATTCCTTAATGTTTGAAAAATTACACTAACCTCCCTGTAATTATTTAGATAGAATGACTACATTAAACTCATATACTCTCTCTTTTCTTACTTTGCTTTACTACCTCTATTTTTTTTTTTGAGGGCAAATTACATTTACCTCCCTCGAGATTTAGCTAAATTACAGATATCCCTGAGGTTTCAAAAATTACATCCCACCCCCTAAGGTTTGTATTTTCATAACAATTTGCCCCCTGTGGTTTATATTTCATAACAAATTACCCTCTAATTTGTTATGCAAATATAGCATTCAGGGAGAAATTTGTAATTTCTCAAACTTCAGGAAGGTATTTGTAATTTAGTCAAACCTCGAGAGGTATATGTAATTTGCCCCTTTTTTTTTCCTTTCCTTTCCTTTGCTTTACTTTTTTTTTTTCCAATATAATTTTCTCTGTTTTTTTACTATGAGTTGATGCATTTTATATAAGTAAGGATTTTATAAAATGAGACTATTAACCACATAGGTAGGAATTTAATTTTCAAAACATCAAGAGGTAGGATGTAATTGGACCAAATTTTAGGGAGTGTTAATGTAATTTACCCTCAATTTAAATTCAAACTGTTATATTTTGTATTTTGTATTTTTTTTATCGGCAAAATAAAAATGTATTGAAGTTCATAAGAATATTATAGAAAGTTCGTGTAGAGGAAACAAACACATCTTAACTAGATTGGCATCCGAATTCCACCTATACAGAAAAATAATAGCCTAGTTTAGGCTAAAAATCACAAAAAGATAAAATAAGCTAAAATAGCTAATAAGACAAAATATCACATCAAATCCATAATCATTTCACTTTTTCTCTCACAAACATCACATCCAACCACAAAAAAATCCAATCATCTTCTCAAACACAAAAATTTTAGCCTACTAAAATAGTCAAAAACTAAAATAACCTACTAAAATTGCAACTTCCCAAACGAAGCCATAAAAAACAATACAAAATTTCAGTATATTTTTCATATTTTTGTGTATTTTTTAATTTTTTAAAATATTTTTTCACAAATATTTTACTATTTATATACATCTAAGTAAGGTGCATTTAAAAAAATAAAAAATGTTTAAAATTTAAAAAATATTCACTAAAATCAAAAAAATACAAAAAATAAAAAACTCAAATTTCAAAAAACTATATTCAGAAAGCTGAAACCAAACATACTGAATGATTTTTTGGGAGCTTATTTTGCTTTTTAATTTTTTTTGAATTTATTTTAAAAATCTTTTTAAAATTTTTCTACACACGAAAAATAAAAAAATTTGAGATAATTTTAAATAAAATTAAAAAAAATTATATATAACTTATTTAAAAGTTCTCAGCCACATAATGTTGTTGTGTGGTCCATATTTAGGCCTACTTTGAGAGCAAATTATTTTAGTAATTTTTTGATTTTTTGACTAAAATATGCGATAAAAAAAAATTAGTATATTTGGAATGATTTTTTAATTTTTTTTACAAAAAGATGTGTAAAAAGTAGAGAGAAAAGACAATTTTTGATTTTTTGATATAGATTATAATTTTTTTTTTATAGTAACTTTTTATCTTTTTAGTTGAAACACTCACATGCCAAATGTCTTAAAAAATAAACCTACATCTAAAATAAAATATAGTAGTGCTAGACGCCAACAAATTAGATTATTAAATTTATTATAGTGATGTGTCAAAAAAATAGGTGGTACATAATTGAGTATATGACAAATTAAAAATTAATATCTATATGCACCATCATTATAAATCAAATTATAAGGAATGTTTTTAGTGAGGTGTAAACATTTTTTGAGCCATCATTGAATTTTCTAAAGAACTTTCAGCTGCAAAATTTCGGTTTCATAGAATTACCCTATATTAAAAACAGTTCTACACATGAAAAAATAAGAAAATAAAATAAAAATTTTGAAGAAGAAGAAGAGGAGGAAACAAATAGAACTTGTTGAATCCACAAGAAGTCCCAATTATTTTTCAGTGCAGAAACGCATAAACAGCAGTAGAAACATAAACAAGAAGTCCAGAAGTGACCAACGCAATCAAAGCCGCAGCAGAACTAACCGTAGATTTACTCCCACAAGACAGGGTCCCCAACTTAATCTCCACAACATTTATCATCGACAGCATCAAGAACAAGCACCCCATCACCGATCCAACAGCCGAACCCACCATCCCAAACCTGAGGACCTTGATATTAATGTGGGCTCGAAACGCCTCATCCACATCTCTGCTGTTCAATATGTTGATGGCAAGCTTGAGCCCCTGAGCCACTAAGGACGAGAAGAGGAAGAAGCTGAAGGACACCACTTCGAAGACTAAGAGCTTTTTCGCCACGTCGATGCCGGCGTCACAGGTTGATGGGTTGAGGCTGTGCTGGTGTGGGGTGGTGAGGGAGAGGCCCACGAAGACTGCGATTGTGAAGAGGGAGTTCACGTTTACTAGGCCGTCGAGGGCGGTGACGCGGACGCTCGTTGTGGTGGAGGAGGAGGATGGAGAAGGGTTTTGGTGTGAGGTTGATGACGATGATCTGAAAGTAAAACACACAGAAATTTAGAGTTTAAATGTAGAGAATTCATATACCAAACCAATGAATTTTTTTAAAAAAATAAATTAGTATATATATATATGTGAGGGAGAGTGTGTACTTGGCCATGACTGTTTATTCTCCTCCTAGTTGTAGATAAATATGAGAGAGAGAGAGAGAGAGATGGTCATGGTGGTTATGGAATATTGTTGCTTGAAAGGTTTATAATGGTTTCCCTGAAGCGGAAGGGAAAGTGAGCATGCAATATGAAAGAGATGGAGAGATGCTTTGCTTTTAAAGGGTTTACTTGGCCTGACTCCTTTTTTCCCTTTTCCTTTTTTTTTTTAAATTTTTGAATTTAAACTTTTATATTTTTGAATTTAAAATTCTATGTATTTCACCTAATTATGGCCTTTAAACTCTTTGGTCATAATTTTTCGACGCGATAGTTACGACTTGGTTATATATATATATATATATATATATATTATATTAATTATGACTTATTGTGATATTGGTTATAATATTATTTTTATTATGATTCACTTTTTTTTTATTATTATTATACATTGTATGTTGTTTAGTTGTAACTTTTCTTTTTCTTTTTTCTCTTTTTTTTTTTTTTTTGTTTAACTTTTTAATCATATCTTTGTTGTTGTCACACACTATAGATTCAGGGTTAGGATTTTTGAATGTATATTCGCACGTGTCACCCTTTTTTCTAACCGAGTACTATGTAATGAAAGGATGTTATACTCTGATTCATATTGTTATTTACTTATCGTCATGGATGGTTCAGTATTTTTATTTCAAGGCGTTAACTAAATTTGGCAAATCATATTTTGAGGTCCACGATGATGCTAAGTAGGAGGTCTTCTTAGGTATGTGTTTGGAGGCAAAACTTTTAGATTGGATAATATAGCAATTCAATCTACTAATGGGCTACTTGATTTGAGAAGGCTGGTGTTATCATCTATTTGCAGTGAGGCAAATGACTTTTGTAATTCTTTGTTATTGATTGACTGAGTTTATTTCCCAAATTCTTCATTGCTAATTCTTGAATTACATAGTGAATTCTGTAACTCGGTATCACTAGGTAGTGGTAATGAACTTCTAAATAGTGAAGTCAAATTTCTTGTTGTTGCTTCCTTCTGGTTTAACCTATGCTAGGACAGAGATTATGTTCATTTTTCAAATTCTTTGGTTTATTCATTAATCTGATTGGATTGGGTGACCATTTTCTTGTCTATTTATTTGTGCAAATTATGAATTGGCATCTATATTTTTGTAATTTACTCCAAGCAAAAGAATTTAGAGAATGAACCTTTTTTTTTTCTCTTGACATTTTCTTTTGAAATAGTTTTATTTTTATTATTTCAAGTTAAACTGCATTAAATTTTCAAGTCACGTGTATATGTTTTTGCAGGTTTTGTTGAGGGAGTAATTGATATAATCGAGCGAGTGATGTTTTGGAGCCAAACTGAGATTATGCTGCTTTTTTTTTTCTTTTTTTGGGGGGACTTGAATCTTTTAGTACAATATATTTTAAGGATGATTGATGGATATTTGTTTTGCATGTATGAAAGTTTATATTTTGTTTGCACACTTACATGTGAATAGGTTAATATTTCTATTATGAGTTTAAATGAATTTGTTAATTTTGTTATTTTTTATTAAAAAAACTTGTTAGGTGCTTGCAATTGATTTTTTTGTTGTAGCAAACGTATGTGATTTTATTATAAAAATAATGATTTGTGACGGTAAAAAAATGTAATCATTTTATCTATGTTAAATGGTTTCAGGGGAGGAGATGTTCCCTTGCCACAGATATCTGCATGTTACTTGAGGATAAAGTAAGTTTCTGGCCCCATCACTAATCTGTAGCTTTGTCAATGATATTTTTCCCAATTGGATACTATCAGGCCATTTACACGTTTGTCGGGTCATTTTTGTATGTTCTTCTATGCATACTTATGCTTGAGTAGTGTTTGAGAAGAGAAGTTTCTTGTGGCAAAAAAAAAAAA